CCCCAAAACCCCAAAACCCCAAAACCCCATAAACCTGCATTATTAGTGATAAAGAGAAAATAAGCAGAGATTGAATGTGAAATATGTATGTAATTTAGATAATTAATAACTATTATCAACCATCAACAGTTTTACCAGATGCAGCCTTGATTGCATTGTTGTCCTTCCAAATTCTGCAAGTATTATCCTTAGAGCCTGTAATTATAGTGTCTCCCTCATAATTGAAAGCGCAAGAGAATATTTCATCCTCATGACCCTCTAAGACCTAGATTTCATTTCCATTGTCTACTGACCAAATACGGCAAGTCTTATCACTACTAGCTGTAATAATTTTGTTGCCTTATGGGTTGAAAGAAATCTTAGAGATTTCGTTTTAATGACCTTGAAGAAGAGAGATACAAGCTCCAGTGAAGACATTATAGATTCTGGCAATACCATCAGCAGAAGCTGTGGCCAGTTTATTTCCAGTGCTATTGAAACAAGCATCTAGAACTTCATCATTGTGCCCTCTGAAAGTTTCAATGCATTGGCCACTGCCAACATCCCATAGTTTACATGTTCTATCGATACTTCCAGTTAGACAGTAATCGCCAGTAAAGTCGAATTGACCGCAGGAGAGTTCTCCAGTGTGTCCTTCTAAGGTAAACAAGCACTAGCCTGTGCACACATCCCAGATCTTGGCAGTATTGTCGAATGATGCTGTCAAAAGTTTATCTCCATCTGTGTTGAAGTGTAAACTGACGATTTCAGCTTTGTGACCTGCTAAGTTGAAAATTTCTTGGCCAGTCTCTACATCCCAAAGTTTTGCTGTGTGATCCATAGATCCAGTGGCAACAAGCATTCCATGAGGATCGAATGAAAGGCAGACTATCTCCATCTTGTGACCCTTAAGAGTGTGATATCTCTGACCAGTGTTAGCATCCCAGATCTTAGCAGTTCTATCGAATGAACCTGTTACTATCTTATCTCTAAATTAATCATGATTATTATATCTTTTTTTGAATTTATACCCATAAGGATTGTTGAAAGCCATAGTGTAAACCACATTTTTATGTTCATCAAGGGAGAGTAGCTCTGTTCCACTCACTGTATCCCAAACCTTGCAAGTTCTATCATAACTTCCAGTAATAAACCTAATCTCTATCAAGATAACATGTATTACTTGTCTCCAGATTTATTGAAGGCGCAATTAGTCAATGGCAATAAATGTGCTCTTAGAACCTTGAACAATTTGAAAGTCTATTCTTAATTTTCCATCTGCTTCTCAATCAACTCTATAAATCAATTAATTAGACCTGCTTCTTAGCTAATCTTACTCTCAATGAGTTTCTTGAGCTAGGGTTTTCTGGATTCTGAGATAAGAGGCTCTTCGAGCAAGATTTAATCGATGAGTCTATCGATGTCAGTCCTAAGCAAAAGTGTTGTCAAAATCAAATATTCATGGAAGGGATATAAATTACTCTGGGGTAAGATTAAGCAAATCGATTGATTTAGTCTCGACCTCACCATTCTTTCTTAGATATTCAAGAATAATGCCTGGGGGATGATATCTCAGGAGAAATCTTTTAAGTTTCATTTTACTTACTAAATTTGAATTTATAATTAATTATTTAACTTTAAAAGTCATCTACTTAATACAATATAATAATTTATATTGAGGGGTTTTGGGGTTTTGGGGTTTTGGGGTTTTGGGG